AGGGGTTTGAGATGCTGCAAGAGGCACATGTGTGCTCATCTGGATGCACCCTATGTGTTTTTTCTACCGTTTTGTAATGTTAACTGTAGTTTTATTTGGAAACTTCATGAACTTTTATTTCAAACGTGCCAAGCTGCCTGTCTTGCATTCAGGCTCTCTAAAAAATATTTTCTGCATACTTATCTGTGTGTACGAGATAGCTAGGATGCTTGTTTTTCTTGAGCATCTAATATTAGTTAGGTTCTGTTGCTTCATATTTCCATTAGCGTTTTGTTGCTTAGTAATCTGAGACGATTTGTCCTTTTTTTCTTTTCCTTTTTTTTTCTTTTCTAGTTTGGAAGATGGGGAAGAAGAGCAGAGTCAAAACGCAGAAGTCAGGTACAGGAGCCACAGCAACAGTTTCTCCAAAAGAAATGTTGAATCTAATAAATGAATTATTACAAAGTAAGTTTAATTTGTGTAATGCCATGGGAGAGTGCACAGAGTGAACAAAAATATCTTTGTTCTTTTAATAATGAATGCAGTTTTTTTTCAGGTGGCATAATCATTTGGAATATTTTTTTCAAATTAGTCCAAATTTCGATAATGCAGTCTGTGTGTCGGGTAGTGCATACTTCGTGCAGTCTCCAGGCTTGTTCTTCTTACCTATATAGTGCCTATATTGTTTTTAAAAAATGCTATGCAAGCCTACTAGGCAAATCAGCTGTGTTTAAATTGGCTGGCCATGGGTGCATCTACATATGCAATTAATGAAAAATGATAAACTCTGGAGCACTTTGAGCTTGAATAAATTGCTCCTGGGTGTAGCGTTTACACATGCGCCCCGGACAGCAGTAATTTGAGCTGAAGGGGGAGCAGGCCTGTGCTGGCCCCCAGCTGGTCAACATCTACACGTGTTTCAGTGCAGTTAAGTACTCTGTTATGAGAGAGTACTGTCCCCTGTTTTTACAGTGGAGTTAATTAGTGTACTGTGCCCTAATACTGGTGCACATGTTGATGGTTATGTTTTACTGTGGAGCTGACTAATTATCTCTGCAGTAAAGCACATGTGTTAGATGAACCTCTTGAGGATTATACAGTTCTGCTTAACAAAATGGAAAATATTTGAATTAATGGCTTATGGTACCAGTGAAGGAGGAGGATTACTAGGGCTGTATGAAGCTTTGGTCGCTGATTCGATTTGGCCCAGTTTGATGGCCAAATCTCTGAATCTGAATCGAATCAGGAGACCCATTTATTTCTCCAAATCAAATTGGAAGCCTCCGATTCAATTCAGCCATAGACAGAGTTTTATATGTTTGTTTGGTTTTTTCTACGTACCTTGAGGTACCAGGTGCAGCTCATAAACGCTGAGATGGTGGGGCAGATGAAGCATCCCGTGGGAGTATCCCGTGCTTGTAGAAAAAAACATATAAAGCTCTGTCTGTGGCTGAATCGCTGATCCTCAGAATCGGAATCAAATCGGAACAGTGATCCAAATCAACTAATTGAATTGCTGTCCCCTGCATGGGGCCGAATCAGAATTGACTACTGCCCGCTTCACGCACCCCTAGGCATTACCTGTGGAAATGTTGACACAAATTTACAGAACTGTGTTCTTCATTGATACATCTCTGTTCAAGAGGCTAAAAGTATCTTTTGTTTATGTAGTTTTATTATTCAGCTCTGGTTCCTAGAGATACTGTACGAATAGAACAAAACTCCTGTTTAAAGGATTTTGAGCACACCCAATGATTTCTCCCAGTCCTTCTCTTTGCTTAAAATATCAGTCAAATTTTTGCTACTGATGAATTTGTCAGCTTTGATGGTACTTGGATGGTTTCATAATTTGGTTATTGAAGGACAGCAGGTCTTTATGACGTGGCAATAAAAAAATCTGATCTCTGTCTACACTATTGACACAACAGTGGCAGCAACAGCATGCACCACCATTAAAAAGTGTGTCCTAATCTTACTATTGTTGAAATATACCCAAATGTGCCATGCTAAAAAAAAGTCTTGAAATCACTGTTGCTCAGGCTGGTGAGATAATATAAGTTAGCAGAGCACATGATCAGTACATTTTTAGCATACCTATGTTAACATAATGGTGTAAGACATCCCTATAGGGGAACCCCTGCCCCCCCCCCCCCCAAAAAAAAATTTTTTTTT